CAAGTGGTGTATTGTTTGAACATGTCCATGTTCCAATATGTTAAATTTAAAAATTTCTCAAGTTCCACATTGTTAGAATGTTTTTTGGTTGAAAAAACCATTTAGTCTCACATTGCTTATGTGAGAAATATTAACTAGCTTACTTCACTATATAAGGAGTGTACATGTTTCATTCCAAATTACACCAAAAACTATTCTATTAGTTTGTCCTTCCTTACTCTCATAACTTTGTATCTCTCGAATTGTCGAAGCGCCGTCTTCTTCCCCTTTCTTCCTATTCGTTGAATTTTCTGAGTTTTTTTTTTTAATTCTCTTTAGAGAATTATGTTAATTTCTCCTCATTTGAGTTAAGAAATTTTCAAGTTTAATTTTTTGGATTCTATTTGGTGAATTATTAGAATTTCTCTTTGTTGGAGGAATTATTATGAGTGGTCAAATGACCATTATTAATTTCTCTTTGGAGAATTATTTGAGTAGTAATCTTACAGTATAGAATTGGGTTGTTTTAACCTGGAAGCAACGCGGTAGTTCGACTGCTTTGCATAATTTTGAGCAGTGTCGCGAAACGTTTTAAAGAGAGTGGCTTAATCCGCGACACAAGCTGATAATTTCTCCTGTGGTAAATATTTCAAAGTTAGAAAACAACATAACACAAGAAACAACTTCATCGTAACCTCTATAGAAATGCGTGAAATATCCATATCAACATCCCAAACCAGGACCTCCCTATCCGCTCAACCAGTAGCAAGCAACCCTCCATAAGGATCACAAGCCATACACATAACATGACCTTTATGACCCTAAAACAACACCAAAATAAATTACACTACATGAGCATAACTAAACATTGAATTGAAAATAAACATAATCTGACTATATCTTCCACGAGCACACACATTTGAGAGTGGATAAGTCCCAAACTCAGATTTGGCGGCAGTGGCTAGAAGAGAAGAGAAATTTATCATTGGGGCCAAGATCCAAAGCGGTGACTTGTTCGGAGTTGCCTTTGATGGTGGACCTGATGAATTTATTAGCGGCATCGATGATTTTAATGGAATCGCCGCATGCACAGACAATGAAGGATCCGTCTGATGAGACGACGAAGGGTCCGCCGGTGTAAAATTGTTGCAGGGTCAAAACACAACGAAAATTACTTTTGGAAGAAAGAAATTTTCTGGTGTCTGATTTGGAAGAAAAAAATTGAGCAAAAGAGAAGACTGCTAAAGTGGTTGAGGAAGAGAAAAGAGTGAAGATACCCTTGTTTTTCCAATTCTACTTTTATTTTTTATATTTTTAATTGAAAAAATTAAAAGAACGTGAAAAGTGAGCGGCTAAATTGAGCTTCTTTTTCACACCCTATACCAACAAGTGATTTTTTATTTTTGTCTTTAAATATTATCTATACCAACACTTATTTTTACAGTCCTTAAAGGTGGTCGTTGGTATATGGAAATTTTCTTGTAGTGTTGGATCACTAAGGTCTCCTACGTTTTAACGGGTTCAGATTCACCTATAAGTGTAAAATGGATAAAATCACCATCATTATTGACTTTGTTATCTTGGAACAATTCACAATCTTAAATTTTTGGAGGAAAACTTATATGACTTGTTGATATTCTCACATTTTATTCCACCCGCGCTTTGACGGAGGCTGCTTCTACACTATCAAGCACTACATGAATTGTTTCCTCATTGTTGTAACTGGTTACAACTCTCTAGAAACTAGTTACAGGCTATTGCAACTGCTTGATTTTGTCAAAAACAACATCTTGGCTGGTCACGGTTCTTCTATTCACTGCATCATACAACTTCTAACAATTCGTGGAGTGATACCCTACAAGTATCATCAATTCTTCCTTATCATCAAGATTCTTTCTAAGTTGTCCTGACACATGTTGATATCTACTAAAATGAAAACTCTCTAATGATACATATTCAGTTTAAATCCAGACTAAGCTTCCTCAGTGTTATCTTCTCAAGCTTATTTATTGGGCACATATTCAACAAACATGCATCCATGCATCCATGTTCATGTTTGATCAATTCTTTCTTTTGGAAACACCATTTTGATGCGGTGTATAGGGTGGTATGGTCTCATTTACTATGCAATCTTGATCATAAAACCTTCACAATTCATTTGAAACATATTCGTCTCCACAGTCCAATTTAAGAACTTTGAGTTCGTGACTGCTTTGCCTCTCAAACATGAACTGGAACTTCTTAAGCACTTCTAATACCTCATCCTTTTTCTTGATTATATATGTCTATAGTTTTCTACTATGATCATCAATTAATGTAATAAACTATCTATTGCCACCAATAAAACCAACTTGCATCGATCTACACACATCTTAATACACTATTCCAAGGTAATGATTGGTTCTAAAACATGTATCTTTGCTGAGTTTTCTCTTATGTTGCTTTGCTTGCACACATTTTTCACAAATTTTAGCCGTTATGTTGATCAGTGGCAGCCCCGTCACCATTTCGTTCTTTTGAAAAGCATTGATATCTTGGAAGTTGAGATTCCCAAGCCTATAATGCCATATCAAATCTTCTTGAATAGCCACTATAACAAGACACCTATGGTCCATAACCTTCACCTCAACCTTGAAGCTTCTATTGGCAGCCATATGAGCTTTTAGGACGAAAACCATGTTTGCATCCATAATGCATAGCGCCTTGTTCTCCATATAAATCTTGTACCCCTTATCAAACAATTCGTCAATACTCAGAAGGCTACTCTTGATTATGAGAATATGAAAAAAATCCTTTTATCAAAGAATGTATATCATCCCTTCTCTCGATCGATACATCATCGATCCCTTCTGGTGCTAGAGTGGTATCATCCATAAACTTCACTTTGTTCTTCATGGCATAACGGATTGTAACAAAGCAATTTTTTCTCCCCGTCACATGCGTTGAACCCATGGAGTCCAAATTCCATTGATCTCTACATTGAACTGCTTTTTTCAAATTCACCATTTCATTTTTCATCAGTATGTAATCAATTACATCATTTACTTAATCAATTACAACATGGTTCTGTAGGATTTTTCAAACTGCTGCTTCATTCCACCTCCGTGATCATGTCAAAGAGTGTGTTCTCGTCATCAAACTCTTGCCTTGCAACTCAAGATTCCTATTCTCGAGGTTCGTTCTTGATGGAATTGCACTCTCTTGAAAAATGGACAGGCTTTTGACAAATAAAGTACATCATGTTGCTCTTGTAAACCATTCTTCTTCCACCTCTACTTCTTAGATAGCCTCTACTAGAGTTTATTGATCCAACAACCCTAATACCATTATTCACCCTTTTGGAATATTGAGTTATTGGAATTTCGGGACTCTTTTCCATTAAAATTCGGAAATTTCCCCTACTTTTTGTCATGAGTCACTTTCCCTTCGCTTTCTTGTCTCTCATTCAAACGGGCTTTCAAAATAAATCTTTGCATTTGCCTTATCAATATTATTTTCCTCCATTCTCTGCTCATGTGCCTCAAGAGAGCTTTGCATCTCCTCTTTGCTCATCGTCTCAATATCCTTCGATTCCTCAATCACTACGATTGTTATCAAATCTTGTCATCAAAGAACACAAGATTTTCACGACAACATACATCTCCTTGATCGTTTCTCCACATGTTTTTACTTGGTTCGCCAATTGAGTAATTCTCATTGTGATATCGTTGATGGTATCCTTCTCATCTATTTTAATCAACTCAAGTTGATGTTTACGAGTTTGTAACCTCACAAGCTTCACCTTGTCAGCCCCTGCAGATTCCTTCTCCAAGATTAGTCATGCTTGCTGCGATGTTTCAAAATTACCAGCATTCTCGAAATTATTTGTATCAACGAATTGATGGATTAAAAAACAACGCCTTGAAATCTTTTTTCTTTTCTTATGTGGTGCATGTATCAACGAATTGATGGATTAAAAAAGAGCGTCTTGAAATCTTTCTTCTTTTTTTCCTAATGTGATGCTCGTTGTGCATCTGTTGCACTTTCAACAAGAAGAATCACACCATTCTTGATCACACCAAGAACTTCTTGATAACCAAACAACGCCTTCATTTTCTTGCACCATTTGTTGTAATTCTATGCATCAAGGATGAATAAGTTTGCAGAGATTCTTTCATTGGAGACAGAATTCATGTTTCACTCTAGATATTTGGTGGATTAAACTAAGCTCTTGATCTTAAATGTTAAAACTTAGAACAACAAGGTTGGTGAATAATTGAGTGTGGAGAGAGAGAGAGAGAGAGAGAGAGAGAGAGAGAGAGAGAGAGAGAGAGAGAGAGAGAGAGTGAGAGAGAGGGTGAAAAATGTTCAGCATTTACATTTGCTATACAATGATATACCTCAAAAGAATATATACAAGTACATGGACACAAACAACTAATTTAAAAAACAAAAACAAATTGCATGTAACTGGTTACCACAAACCTGAAATCAGTTACAACTATTTCTATAATTAATTTTTAATATAGTGGTAACCGAGTACCAAAACGTAGTAATCAGTTACACATGTTCTAATAGCCAAAGACACTACACCCTATAACCGATTACAATACTTAAATGATTGATTTTACACCACAGTAAATATAGTTATGTAATTTGAGTTTTTAGGACCTACATATCAATATGAATAAGTGAAATATTAAAATTATAAAATATGTGACCTATAATTGGAATGCCCTGAATTTTAAGTAGTGTAATGTCTATCTGTTATAGTCATAGAACATTAATCCTTTTTTTTGTCATAGAACATTAATCCTTTTTTTTTGTGACCGTTATATCTAAAAAATTGTGTGTCTGTGTCAATCTTTTAAATTGATATTAACACTTATGATTATATTTAATTTATTTATTTATTTTAATAATTATCCGTAGACATATCTTTGTTGCTGTCGTCTTTTCTATCTATCATCATTTATATACCAGATTTATAGAATATATTAAAATTAAACACAAATTTATATTGTTTTGGTATTGCAATAGAAATGGACAATGTGGTGTCTGTTTTTCCAAACACAAAGCATTATCCTTGCACAACAAAATCGTGGGACTTCATAGGCCTCCAAGAGAATAGCAAAAGATTGAGTTTGGAGAGTGACATAATTGTTGGAGTAATAGACTATGGAATTTGGCCGGATTCAAAGAGCTTTAGTGATGAAGGATTTGGTCCACCACCACAGAAATGGAAGGGATCATGCCACAATTTCACTTGCAACAAGTAATTAATAATACAAGAATCAGTTTACTTTCATTATTTTCTGTCTTCATTAAAAAAGGATGATATATATATATATATATATATATATATATATATATATATATATATATATATATATATATATATATATATATATATATATATATATATATATATATATATATATCATTGTGAGGTAACTTGAGTTTAAGTTGGGTATGAGTATTTACTTTTAGTGTAAATTATTTATGGCGTTGAATTATACTGTTTGATTGATCGATACCCAATTAAATTCAATGTTAGCGAAGTGTTAACAATTTTATATTGTTTTCTATATACAAATATTGAGTAAATCATAATTTTACTTCTTAAAATCACAGGGGTCAAACAATTTGATCCTAATATTAGTAAAATTATAAAATGAATCTAAAAATATTAACGGACCATTCACATTCACATGTTACATGCAGTAAAATAATTGGTGCACAATACTTTAATATCGAAGGTTCCTATAATAAAAAAGACATCAAAGGTCCAACAGATGTAAATGGTCACGGAACACATTGTGCGTCCACAGCGGCGGGAAACATGGTTCATTCTGCGAGCCTGCAAGGGTATGCTTCAGGGACAGCTCGGGGAGGAGTTCCATCGGCACGCATTGCTGTCTACAAAGTGTGTTGGGAAGGAATTCGTTGCACACAGGCAGATATCCTTGCAGCGTTTGATTCAGCAATTGATGAGGGCGTTGATGTTCTTTCGGTCTCTCTTGGACCAAGCAATGTAGTAATAATGCCATATTTTCAAAATGCTTTCGATATTGGAAGTTTCCATGCAATGAAAAGAGGAATATTTATGGCCCTTGCCGCTAATAATCTTGGCCCAGATCTTTTCACCATGACAAATTATCCGCCATGGATACTCTCTGTAGCTGCTAGCACTTTTGGAAGAAAGTTTATTACAAAGGTGCAATTGGGAAATGGTGCCATTTATAAGGTATGTTAATTTCCGCAATCATGGTTACATCATAGTTCTTAACTAGTAATGATACTATTTTCTCACATGTGATGTTGTTAGGGGTCAACAATTAACACATTTGATCTCAAAAACAAAATGTTTCCAATAGTTTTTGCAAGAGATATACCCAATATTGCCGGCGGATTTAACAGTTCGATATCAAGGTATTATGAATATATGTAATCATATGAATACTCACATAGTTTTTTATTAGTATTTAATATCATATAAACATTATCATGCCTAGGTTTTGCCTTAAGGACTCTGTAGATAAACATGCAGTCAAGGGGAAGATTGTTTTATGTGAGAGCTTTCAGACACCTTCAGAGGCTGGATTTTTCTATGGGGCGGTTGGTGTAATAATTGGACTTGTTTCCTTTAAAGATTTGCCAAGTACATTTGCCTTGCCAGCCACAGTTATTACTAAAGAGAACCTAAATGAAATACAATATTACATGAACTCAACAAGGTGCTGATTTTATTATTAATGAAAAACAATGGGTATAATATTGATATATTGAAGTATATTTAATTAATTCAATCTTTTTAATTGACTATCGTTCAATAGAAATCCAACTGCTACAATATTTAAGAGTGAAGAAGTGGAAGATTTGTTGTCCCCTTATGTAGCCTCATTTTCTTCAAGAGGTCCAAATCCAATTACTCCAAATATTCTCAAGGTAACACAAAGTTAAAGATATATAGAAAATAAATCATGTCAATTTCTTTTTTTGTCTTCAACAATGAAACTACTTACTAGATACATTTATTTTTTGATGTTGTAGCCTGATATAGCTGCCCCTGGAGTTAATGTTATAGCTGCTTGGACTCCACTAGATCCCATTTCTGAATTTGAAGATGACAAAAGAAGATTACCTTATAATGTTATCTCTGGAACTTCAATGGCTTGCCCTCATGCAGCTGCAGTAGCTGCCTATGTTAAATCATTTCATCCCAATTGGTCACCTGCTATGATCAAATCTGCATTGATGACTACCGGTAAATGATCAAAATATTTTGAATTAAGTGTTATATACTCTAGTGTAGATAATAAAGAATGATTTTTGAATGTAAGCATCACATAAAACTTAATATTTTAAACGAGTTGAAAAATTAAATTGAATTAAATTAATATTGAACAACTAAAAGGAAGTAATTTAATTTATAGTATTTTTCAATTTCGAAGATCATTTTAAAAAATTTGTGTTTGACATGTTTCTTTACTCTAATCACTTTGTTGAATACCAAATTAACAGTGACTCCAATAAGCTCTAGTTTAAATCCTGAAGCTGAGTTCGCATACGGTGCGGGGCAGATAAATCCTATTGATGCAACAAATCCTGGTTTAGTGTATGATATTAACGAAGCAAATTATGTTGAGTTTTTGTGCGGAGAAGGGTTCACATCTAAAGAACTTCAAACTTATACTCAAGATAAGATTAATTGCAAAGGAAGAGACAATGAGAAAGCTGTATACAACTTGAACCTCCCATCATTTGCACTTGAAGTAAACGACACATTTTCAGGATATGTTTATCATAGAACCGTTACAAATGTGGGATCAGCAAAATCTAGTTATAAAGCAAGAGTAATATCACCACCTTTGATGGAAATTCAAGTGAAACCTGATGTTCTGTCTTTCACATATATAGGACAGAAAAAATCATTTTCACTAACAATAGAAGGGAGCATCGACGTGTCAATAATGTCTGCTTCTTTAATTTGGGATGATGGAAACCATCAAGTTAGAAGCCCAATTGTAGTGTATGCGAGCTAAGCATGAGTTATGTTATGGGAGCTAAGCATTATATATCTATGAGCCTAACTGCGTGTGGAACACTATAACGTAAATAAAGTTATCACACTATGGCCCTTATATAAACTTGTTAACTATATTTGTGAGATTATTAATAAAGTTTAATGACAATCTATAATGTTGGAATAATTTGTTAAAAGAAATGTCAAAATTCTATTACGTGGATGAATTTGGAAAAAAATTGTAAGTCTCACATTGTTAAAAAAACTGTGTTTTTGTGTTAATTGTGAATATTATATTTTCCACATTACTTATGTTACATCATATATTTAGTTTTCAACATTATATAGGAAAAAGAAATTTTAAGTCTCACATTACTTAGATTATATATATTGTTTAACTTATTTTATTTATACAAAGAATTATTTGAATTTCTCCTCTTTTAGAAATTATTTATGATAGTAAAACAACTAATATTAAATTTTTTTGGAGAATTATTCAAATTTATTCCGTTTTAGAATTTTATTTGGGTAGTCAAATGATCATTATTTAAGGGCGTAATTTTTGACTGATTGTCTATGGTCATGCAAAAATCATGGTTAATTGTCTCTATTGCACAATTTTGTGAAGTGCCGCTAATTATTTTCCAATATTTTGGCCGATGAAGTTCATATTGTTCTTGCTTCTTCATGATCAAATGAAAAAATCAATAATAAGAAATCTATGGATTTAGATGGAACAATAAATTCACGTGAATCTGAAATTGTTGTAAAATTAAAGATAATGATTTCTGATCTGACCTGATCAGAAGGTTTGGACCGTCACGGCTTACTCCGAGCTGAAGGCTTTTTGAACGAGGAGGGGGGGGTACCTGCAAGGCACTCCGATGCTAAAGTCAGTGGGAGTACGAGCAGATAATAGAGTTGAGGTTAGAATGATGAATACCTGACCCTCTGGAAACAGAGGGTATTTATAGCCCCCAGCGCTGGGCCAAGGTTCCTTCATTGGGCCGGGCGGATTTGGCCCAATGGAGGAACTGCCAGGTTCTACGTGGGTAGTGGGGACCAGCACGTGGTCTCCTTCCTGGATGTGCTGCGTGAAGTGCGGGCGGACAGAGACGCGGTCTTTCCGGAGTATCGTTGGGGCAACGGTGGACTGAGTCTGCCCTAGCCAGGTAGCTCGAGATCATGTCGAGCTGCGCTGCACGGTGCCGAGCTCGACGCCAAGACCTCGAGCTGAACAGCGAGTGTCGAGCTGGACGTCAGGACACAGAGTCGGACGGCAGGGTGTCGAGCATGACTTCACTGCGTGGGGCTGGACATTGAGATGTCGAGGTGGACATCAGGGTGTCGGGCATGGACGCGACCCCCTTTGCCCAGTGTGGTCCTTAGTGAGTCCCTTTGGACTGGGCCTTAGTAATGCTTTTGGGCCTGTCGGGCCCAGTCCAGAACAGGAGCCCCCCAAGTCGTGGTTCCTTTGCGAGGAGCCATGACTTGAAACAAAGTTGTTCCGTCGCTGAGGTCTCGTGCCCGGGATGGAGGCGTGGACCCTCGAGGGGTCTCCTCGTGTCGTGCTCGGAGACGTCCTCGGTGGTGGACGCGTGGAGGATCCGTACCGGGCGCGTCGGTCGAGCACACGAGGCATCTTTCGGGAGTTGTGCCGCCACCCTAGGGGGGTAGGGCCATCATTGCGTTGGGAGCAGTGCGTCGAGGAGATGGAGTCCGTGGTTGAACGAGGTGACGCTTGGTATTCCACGTCATCACTATAAATAGGGTCCTTGGGCCCCATAATACGTTTTCCGTTCTCCGTGCTCTCTCCGTTGCTGCTCTCAACACTTTCCCCAGTTGTGACTTCCCGTCTCAGATTCTTCATCTCTTAGCCAAATCCCAACTTTGATCCAAGTAAGTGATCTACTTTCCTCATTTTTCCGTTTTAGAATGCATGATTCCTGGAATTTGTAGATGTTTTAGGATCGTGCGCGTGGGATTAGCCCGGTAGATTCGTGTTTTGCCCGACATATTCATGTCTAGGACCGGCAAACGCATACTTGTGGCCGACACATTCATAGTTTTAGGTGAAAAACTTCAGAGCTGCCCGGGGTCTTCATGATCCGGGCGCCTAATTCATGACCGTGCCCGGTATGTTCATGGTCGTGGCCGTGGGCTTCATAGTGCGGCTCGCCATGTTCATACCTCGGGTCGACATGCTTGGAGAGTGGCCGCGCGGTTGGTTTGAGGAAGAACACTGGGTTCAGGAAAGTCGGGGAGACATCCACTTGTAAAAACGGACTTGTGTAGTCGTGTATGGACGACATGATTATGTCGAGCATAGGACTTCGTGCTCAACTGATTGGTTTCCCGTGCTCTGCAGGTAACCATGGCGGACGAGCCGAGTTCCTCCGGACGTCGTGATCGCGAAGAACAGAGTGCCGACGAGTCGGCCACCTTAATAGATACCGTGACCGACCCATTGCTGGAATGGGTGGGTGTCGAGCCTCGGGGGACAGCGTCAATGTATAGCCGGGATGACCGACATCCCTTCACTGCCATTGAAGAGGGCCAAGACCAGCCCGACTTCCAGCAGAATTTCGTGGTCATGCTTCCGTCGACCAATGCAAGAATTTGCTCGGTGTACCCGAACTACAGTTTCGCGATGTATGAGATCGCGTTTAAGGACTTAGGGCTGCGGCTGCCGTTCACAGATTTTCAGACCGGAGTCTTTATGCATTTGGAGCTGGCCCCGTCCCAGATACACCCAAACTCTCTCGCCTTCATCCGGGCGTTTGAGTTGACGTGTCGCTACTTGAGGATAGGGGCGACCATCCCTCTATTCTTTCGGGTCTTTCACCTACAGCGTCAGTCCCGAGGAGGGAAGCACAGCTGGGTGTCCCTGAAGCAGTCGAGGAGACTGTTTAAGATGTATATGGACTCCGTGAGGGGGTTCAAGGACAAGTGGTATGTGGTACGCCCTATTACCGACTCTGCTGTAGATTCCCTCTTCGAGGAGGAAGGGCCAGTCAGCGATGATGACGGGGAAGCGATGGTGGACGACGACGGGAGCCCCGTGTTAGGACGTAGGGCTAAGTTCCCGGTGTACTGGATGTCCCGACACTACGAGCATGGGACAGGTTATTTCCATACTGCTGTCGGGGACATGTGCCCGGAAGATCAGCGGTCGTATGAGGCTCTTTGTCGGTTTGTCGACAGTTTTCATCCCGCCCAATGGGTTACTCGGGAAGGGGACGATATCCTCGACAAAGACGGTTACCCGACGTTTGAGTCTCGCCCGATCGACACCAAGGCGTTGGTGGAATGTTCGACATATAGGCAGGCAGCCCGCCTGTTAGGTTGTTTGCTTGAAATACTTTATTTCGTCATTTATTTATGCAGTTTGCTCGATACTGACTTTTCTTTTATTTCGTGCAGGTACGATGGCCAGCCGACATGAAAGGCTCCTGAAATTATCAACCGGCCAGAGGCGAGGCAAGAGGGTCGTGCAGGCCCCGCAGACGACGAGAATGGGACCACCGCCAAGTCTGAACGCTCCTCAGCCGGTGAGGGTGGATTCGACGTCGAGCTCGGGAGCAGCGTCAGATCCGGAGGTCGAGGAGATTGACCCCAGCGCCGTTTTGACGCAGAGGAAGAGGACCCGCGTGGAAGGCGGTTCGACTGTCGGGGAGGATGTCGGAGCTGTTCAATCTTTTGCCTTCCCCCCTTGCTTCGAAGAGGCGGGCTTTTTCGAGCGGTTCCCTCCGACCGTGGTCGCTCATGAAGCTGAGGCCATAAAGAAGATGAGTAAGGAGGAAAGGAAGGCCTATCTGGCCGCCAGCGTGGACGGGCTGGTTAAAATGGCCGAAATGGCTCTGGTGTTATCTGAGGATGCAGGGGATGCTGCTCGCGTTGAAGAGCTCGAGCAAGAGAAGGCGGCCTTGACTGCGAGCTCGCGGAAGTTGAAGGTCGCTCTGGAACGCTCCGAGGGGATGTTCCGAGAGCAGACCGCGATACTTGATGCCGAGCGGGAGATGCTGACCTTGGAAAAGGAGAAGTCGGGGAGGTTGACTGAGGAAGGGGAGTTGCTCCGGACCGACAGGGATCGCTTGGCTGCTGAAGTCGAACGCCTGGGTAAACAGGTTGAGGAACTGAATGCTGTTCAGCAACCTGCCGAAGATGAGCCCGAGGACCTAGTGATTTTGAAGAGTCGGGCTGAGCTTATTGCCCATATCCGGCTCCTCGAGGCGGACTGCGTCGGTGCTCTGGAAGACGGGTTCAATTCTGCAGTCGACCAGCTCTCATTGCTAAACCCTGGCCTGGTCACCGAGGGTATCGGTCATACACACCGGGTTGTAGGTGGCGCGATCATTCCTCCGCCCGACTCTCCCAGCGTCGACAATGATGATAATGTGGAAGTTTGATATTTGTATTCTTTGGATAGCGGGCATGCGTGCCCTTGATATTTGTATTCGTATTCTTTGGGCCTGCGTGCCCGTTTATTGCATGTTTTGAACACCGCCGGCCTTCTTGGTCGGTTTAATATTGCTTTGTTGCCTTCGGGCGTTTATACCTTGTTATTTATTTTGGATTTTCTGCCCTTGTATGAACTCACATGCTTGTATGAATTTAGCTCAAGTCCCGGGCCCGAGGAGTGCCCGTAGGTGGCTTTGATTTGGCGAGCGAATATGCTCGTCTCCATTTGTGTGCAATCTCGGCCCTATTTTGGTTGGCCGGGGTTGCTTAAGTGTTGCGCTCGAGGGGAGAGATTTTCTTTTGACCCTTGTAGATGTCCCGTTATTCTTGATGGAATGTCGGGCATTTCGGAGCGAGGTTGCTCAGTCGGGCGTGGAGCCCGTAGGGACGATTCGCCCTTGGCGTGAACTGCCCATCGCGAGCTGGGTGTTCTGCCTTATGGGTACGACGACGGTGGGGCTCGGTACAGCTGTCCACGTCGGGCACTATCGATCGTCAACGTCTACCGCGCGATGCCGTGCCATTTTGGTCGTGTGTCGGGCCTGTACCTTAGCCTTA